GTACAGGTTCTCTCACAGGCCTCACCTGCCCTCAGGATCCAGTTCCTCTAAACTCATGAGCCTCCTTCTAGAGAGAAGTCAGGGGCAAAATTAGTCCAGTACTTGAGCTTTTTTCCCCTTGTTTCACATTAAGATCCCTTACCTTGGGTGTACCTATGCTTTCTTTGCTTGATCTCTGAACTTGCCCCAAAACAGTGTTAGTTTTAGCATTTTTCATCAGCCACAGTTCGGGAAGTTAGAGAAATTGCTCCCTGGTGGCAGAGCGGCCGAACCTTGAGCCTCTGAGGCCTGGACTGCGGGGAAAGTGATGTCTCTGCCTTGGCTGCCTCTGACTTTGGGGCTTCCCTGATTGTTTCCTTACGGCAGATTTCTAGGAAGACGAGGTCAAAGGGCATGGATAATCGCCTTCGCACACAGGTGTGGCCGCTTAAAGGCACACGGAGGGTGCAGAGGTGCGCCCCTCCCGGGGGCCCTTCTCCGCACAGGGGTGCTGCTCTGTGGTGCGTCTGTTTGGTTCTTTCTGGGGATCAGAGGCATACGAGTTGGCAGCTTGCATTTCTTGCTTCTGTTGAATGCCTGTTTTCTTTAAACAGTCTTTATTAGGCCTTTTGAATGTTTTAAATAGTCTCTGGCTTCCTGGGTGAACGACCTTGAAGGTCCCACCCCCGTTCGCACTTCCCCATGGGAAGCGTCACCTGACTGATTTGAGTGATGGACTGAGGAGGTTCAAGGTGTGGCTTGTCAGGCATTTTCCGAGCTCCGATTTGATTGTCTGCGCTGGAAGACTGTGTGGGCAGGAAGCCTCCTGGAAGGAGACAGCGGTTCGATCACCACCTGACCCACCTCTGGTTGTCCTTGTCCTCAAGTCTCCAGAGTTGTCATCCCTGCTTTACTTGGGCTGCAGCCGGCCAGAAACTTGTTTTCAGTCCACCGCATCCTTCAGTTTCAGCCAGAAAGAGTTACTCAGCCTGACACATTAGCAGAGTTACCCAGGCACGTCCGCATCTGAGCTGTGGCCGTACTCATTCATTAAAGTTGCAAGAAAAGCCAAGACGGAGCTTGCTCATCATCAGAGGAAGTTTCTAGGACTCCGCGATAACTTGGTTACGGTTCCCTGCAGGCTGCCTAGGCCTGGGTCTGGGCGAGTGAGAATAAACCCCTGTCCTGCAGAAGCAGAGCTGCCCCGGGGCTCCTGTCCTCCCCGGGCAGGGAGGGTGAGCCCGCACATTCCTTAAATAGAAAGCTTGATGACTCTTCGAGGCTTTGAATTACAGACACATGATTTCCAGGCAGATAGGGCTGGTTAATGAGATGAAATTGGAGTCCTGACAACACCACACTCCCTTCCATCCCCAGCTGGCCTGCCGGCCCGAGGCCCTCGGGGCCTCGGGCCTCCAGGTGCAGCTCCTTCCCTTTGGGCCAGCACCTCCAGCCGCAGCAGGAAGTAAATGCACTGGACTTTGCAGGGCGCTCACAGGGATAAGAGAGTAGGCAGAAGACGCCTGCGATTTTTAGGAAGCTCGGTGCCCTTGGGAAGAGCTGTGTCCACAAGTCCCCCCTTTCTGCCCGCAAAGTGCACAGATCTCTCTGCTTGTGAGCTCACAAGCTTTCCACCTCCTTCTCGTAACAGGGGTCTCAAATAATAGGGAGACGTAGCCAGGCTCTCTGCACTTTACATTGACTCACAAGTTACAGCTCTATGGTTTAATCTCAAAGAAATACTGAGGGATTTGCGGTGGGGGGTGGTAATAGCTCAGTGGTAGAGCACATGCTTAGCAGCACCAGGTCCTGGGTTCAATCCCCAGCACCTCCATCAAATAAATAAACCCTGTTACCCCCCCAAAGAAAAATTAAAAAGAAAAAGAATTTTAAAAAAGAAGGAAATTTTTTAAGATACTGAGAGATGCATACAAAAAGATATGTATAAGGATGCTGGTTACAACCTTATTTCAATAATAAAAATCGAAACAACCTAAATAATCAATAAAATGGAGGCTTTAAAAATTATGGCACATAAAAATCAGGTTGCGGTTACAGAGCCGACGGCAGAAATCCCACGGCAACTACAACCACCGCGGTAGGAGCTGTGCTGTCTGGGGCTGGTGCGCGGGGTCGGGGCTCCCGCTCTTTTGGTAACTGTGCTGCGTGTGGCTTTCATATCTAAGATTGCTTCACGGACCAAGATGGCTGCTTCGACTCCAGCCATCCTCTACGAACTCCAGCCAGCAGGAAGCAGGACAGCACAAAGAAAAGCAGGGCAGAGGCCGTTGGCCAGCTCTCTCTAGGGAAGGGTCCAGCGGCTGACTCACACTCGTGTTTACATTCTGCCGGCTTGTTTATCCAAGGCGGGATTGTTAATCCATCAGAGAGGAAAGGAGCTGTTGCGAAAGTTAGTTCTTGGACCCAAGCCTTGGGTTGATTAGGGTTGAACTTCAGGCTAAAGACAACTCTTGTAGTTTATGTGAAAGGAATCACTTTTTCTACATTTGACTGCTGGAAGTTTCCCAGTGTCAAATTTTATATTTTCCTGCCTTGAGGGGAAGTGTGCCCACTGGGATGCCCTGCTCCCCTCTGCAATTCCTACTTTTTTTTTCTTTTTGCCTGCCCCTAATCTGTTTCATAAAGTTGCTATCTTCCAAAGTTCTTGCATGTTCCAATCCCCAAAGGCGGCTACAGATGCCTTTGGCTCAGCCAAAAAGAGGCTACTTCCACCAACCAGCTAGCGGTTATTAAGCCACTTAACCCCATGCCTTGCACATGGTGGAACCCGGCTGTTTATGGTTGTTGGTCATTTAAGTAAACTGCTCTTTGACCTGAATTGTACGAAGTGCCACATGAGAAACAGCAGGGAGAGGCACAGGTCTGGTCTCACATCTGACTATAGGCAGAGAGACAAGCAAAACAGTGGGAAATGACAGAATGTTCCATCTGATTGGGCGCAGAGAGGGGCGGACCAAGCCGTAGTTGATAGAGAAGTTCAGTAAGGTTCCTCAATGCAAGTGGGGTTTGCAGTGAAGAACTTGGCCTTGCCCACAGAGAGGTCTGGCCTTCGCCCTTGGCTTCTGGGAAGTAGTCTAGGTCATACCTGATGGCAGGGTTTTTGTTTGGGGAGGGGGTGGCCCCACATCGGATCTTAGGATGGGGGCTTTGGGTCGTGCAGTATCAGGTCCACCTGGAGGCTGGGATCAGCCACGTGGGCAGCCACCCACCCACCCAATCACTCATGCCTCAGTGATGGAGTCCCGATAAGAACGCTGATCAGAAAGCTTATAAGATAGCTACAAGATAGAAACATAAACAGATGGAAAAGGATACATAGAAATTCCAGTGATTTCTTGCTTAACCTCAGTGGACCATCCCACATATCTCCTGGGAGTCCTGCGTCCCATGGTGCAGCCCTGACCACTGGTGCAGGCAGCCAGCACAGAGCCCTGCAGGCGACTTCCATAGCGAGGAAGAAAGACGGGGGTTCCTTTCTTTTCTCGCCCTCCCTCCTTCCCTTCCCCTAAATTAGGCTGATGCCTCAGTAGCAGCCACCACTGCACCTGTCGCTGCAGTTTTAAAATGCTTTCCCACGTGGGTTATCTTACTTACTCTCCCAGATAAAGAGAAGTGAAGTGGCTCAAACAGGAGCCAGACTGGGGAAAGCCTTGAACACCCGCCAAGCGGAGGTTGCACTAGATCTCAAAGGCAGTGCTGCCAGATGAGCTGTGTCAGGGTGCAGGGGGCACTTACACCCAGAGTGCCCCCAGTAACTGCCTCGCTCATCCGCAGCCAGAGGGCAGAGCCCCTGAAGGAAGGCCCAGCCCTGAGCGCGGATGGGACGCCTCCTGCAGCCCTCAGACCTGAGACATAGTCGGGTTAGCCATTCCCCTAGGCTGCTTCTCCATTCTTGTGAATATTATCGGTAAACTTGGTTTCCAAAATGACGCCGTGCCACCTACTCGGGGCCCTCCCAGCCAGGGGTGTGCACGCAGCTGTTTCGCACCCGGTATTTTCCCTGGTGCCCGTCCCTGCCCCTCCTTGACCTCGCCGGTCACGCTGTAGGCACCGTATGCAGCTCCACTCCCCGGGAACAAGGCTGGACTGTGTGCCTGTCCCTGCGTCTCCCTTTCTCCCCGTCCCGCCCCACCTGCTGGGCTGTCTGTCCTCCCCGGGGAGGAGCGTCATGACAAGGGCAGGGACCAGCGGGTGGGACAGTGCTTCCAGAACACAAAGCCGCCCCCTGCAGGAGGCGCCCGGGGTTCGCAGAGGGAGCAGGGAAGCAGAGGAAATAGCCATGGCGTCCGGCGTTGGGGTTCCTGTTGCTTTCCTCCTGAACACCCTCCTGTGACGCCCCTTTGACCAAAGCCCTAAGAGGGCCCGTTAGTGGCCTTTTCTGCGATGAGGTGACAGCCACCTGTGTGGTGGGGAGCAGCACATGGGTGTCGCCTGGGACAGAGTGGGGCATCCATGTATAAGACCATGCACAGTACCTTCAGATTGAAGTCAGGCTGCGGCCTGACTCCCGTCAGGGGATGCGCGAGTCCAGCAGGCGGGGGAGGAGGAGGAGAGAAGGTGCAGGTGAGCCGCAGAGCCCGCAGTCCGAGCACGGCCCCTTGGGCGGGCAGGCTGCCTGCTCCCTGGGGCTGCAACCTCTTGGCTTTGCAGTCAGAAAACCTGGTCAAGTCCAACCTGAACCACCTTGCCGCTTAAGGCTACTTAGCCGCCACGGCTCCTTCAGCAGACGTCAGGTTACGTGAAGCAGCCTAACTTGGTCCCTGTCATTAACATGCCGTTCCTGACTCTCCCAAGACACGTAGACCCTGCCCTGCATCCCAGCTGGTGCTTCACACATTGGTCCCCAGCTCACGGGCGGGGCTGTGACCCGCTGATGTCTGTTTATTCCCCTCAGCCACGAGCACAGAGCTCACACACACACACACACACACCCTCCCCGGGGCTCAGGGAGAGTTCCTGCCTGGTTAGAAACAGCTCCCAACTGTGCGTCTTCCTTTCAGGGACTTCCCCGATGACCCGGGCGTGCAGTGGGACACACAGCGGGTGGCCGACGTCGTCCTCCAGCATGTAGAGGACAACGGCATAAACCTGGTAAGGGGATGCCCTCCCAGAGAGAGGGCTGGGCCCAGTGACCCAGTGACCTTGACCGCGGCCGCCCCTTCCAGCCCTGCTCCCAGCCCCGTGTCCCTCTCAAACCTGCAAACACACCTTTCCTGAGACTGAGTGACCCAAGTGTCCGTGCTCGGGCACTGCCCCTGAAAACTCAGGTCCCCCCCAGGGCCTGCGCCCAGCTTTCACTGACACAGAACCTTCCCCCAAGCGTTTTCATTTTAGAGTCATTTTAACTGTGGAGGCAACTGTCAGACTGGGGTTCCCAGAGGCCCAGCAGCCGCCCAGGGTCAGTGAAGCCAGGGCTTCAAGCCTCCAGTCTCAGCCCAGAAAACGTGAGGACAAACTCCCAGCCACCACAGGGGGGACGTGCGCGCTTGGCCAGAGCCCTGGTGGGCGTTGACTCACCTGCGGAGGCGGATGGTCTGGGACCCTGCTCCGCCCCCAGCCCCACCGGACGAGTCCCGCCAGCTGCCCATCTAAGGGCCGACCAAGAGGGTGTCCATCCGCCTCTGAAATGAGAGTAATAACGCTTCATGAGTTAATACCTAAAGTGCTGCCATTTAAGGCCCCAGTCACTTGCTTTGTTATTAATCCTCATTAAGGGATGAACCCTGCGGGCAGAGAAACATGATGGGCCTTTACCAGTGACCAGTGCACTGAGCTGACAGACTTATGAGGCCTTGGTGAAGAACAGATTTTCGTGGATATGTGCGTCAGACCGTCTCTGTGTTCTGATGACAGAAACACACCGGACACTTAGTCCACACAGGCCAAAAGGGGCACTTGGCTGGCTGGCTCTGAGTCACACAGGCCAAGATGCAGGTGGGCCCTGGCCCTGCTGGACTCTGCCCCGGCCGGAAAGATGGTCACCAGCAGCTGCAGGCCCACCTCTCCCAGCTGCACCTTCCCAGAGGGCCTGAGGTGACAGCCGGAGGGTTCGGTCTGGGCTTGGGAGCCACTGCCCAGGCCTGCTGACTGACCTGGGTCCCCTGGCATGATGTCCCCCCGCCCAGGGCTTCAGGGCCGGCCTGGGGCACAGCAGCGAGCCCTGTGAGGTGCAGTGCAGGGGCCTTGGTACCCCGTCTTCTCCTGGCAGTGGCTTCCCCGAGACCAGTCCCCAGTCACTCTCTCCCCTCCTGCGTCCATGCGTTAGAACAGCTGGCTTTCCAGTTGCTCCTGCTTGTGGGGCAACTCCCATCCTGGGAACGTGGCCCTCCTTGACCTGGCCCTTCCTTAGGTGCTGCCCACTGGCGAGCAGGGCTGGTCCGTACTGGAGGCCAGGCCCTTGTTAGACCACACCGCAGCCAGCTCTGATGCACGGCTCTGCACATCAGGGAGGAGCTTCAGGGCACAGGCACTCTGGGTGCCAGTCTTGCTCTCAAAAGAGTCTCCCAAGTTTGTGTCCCAGAAGAGCGACCTGTGGTCCAAGCCCAGCTTGCGGCCACCTTCTCTGAGAAGCCTTCCTGGACTTCTTCAGCCCTCTTCGGGATCCCTGTAGTATTTGCTGTGTGTCCTGCGCCTGTGACGGCTGTTGCTGTTTATCCTTTAAAGCACAGGCCACGTCCTGCGAACCAGACTGTAAGTCCACGAGGGGAGGACCCACCGTGATATCTTTAACCCCCGAGAGCTGGAACATCCCCCAGGAGCCCCGACCACTAACCGCTACCTCCAGGCCTGGGGCGCCTTCCTGTCCACTCAGGTGCGGAGGGGCCTTTCTGGTCAGGACAATCTTGAATTGATTTCATTTCTATAAACAAGGAAATCATTTTAAAAGAGCTCTTTAACACACCTTGCTGTTGAGAAGAAAACTCTCAAGTCATCAGGCACAGTTGGGAATTCCCTCCCGGCCTGCAGTGAGTGTGGCATAGATGTGCAAGGCCAGCGCGGACACAAGTGGCCATAAGCCAGCTATGTCTGGGTCCCCTCGGGTCCCGGTGATACAGGGACACGCACTTTCACAGTCCAACCATCCTGGCAGGTGGGAAGTCGCGCCTTGGTGGTACCAGGCTGTGCATAAACCCCGGGGCCCAGGTGCATGGCACAGCCTGGACACATCAATGCGCAGTTGGAGAGGGTGGAGCACGGTGCGGGGGTGGGGACAGGGGCAGCCCCGGGAAGGGAGTCTCTTCCGTGCTGTGCTGGGATGGTACCAAAGCTCTCCTCCGTGCAAAGCCGGCCCTGCACCACACCCACAGTGTGCCAGGGGTCCAGGTTCTCTCCCGTCCCAGCTCTGCCAGGTGCTTGCGAGGATCCGTCCCACTCACCGGAGGGGCGAGAACCCTTGGAGCAGCTGGTAGGACGGTGCTTTGAAAATGACAGGGGCGCCCCCTGCAGAAGCAGCCTGGCCTTGGCAGAGCTGGTGTCCAGAAGGCCAGGTCCTGGCCCAACGCCCCACAACAGCTGTCTATTGAGCACGTGCTGTGTGACATTCGATGTTGTTAACTGGGGTTTCGGGCCCGAGCCCCGCGCATCTGGTCCCAGCTCCCTTAGGGCACCACCGACGTTTGGGGCCAGCTCGCTCTCCGTCGTGGGGGCTTGTCTTGTACGTTGTGGGGTGTTCAGCTGCCTCCCCAGCCTCTACCCGGCCGTCACAATAAAAACATCTCCGGACGCTGCCAACTGTCCTCGTGGCAAAACTGCCCCCCGCTGAGAACCATGGCCTTGGAGAAGCAGGAGCACCCCCTTGTTCCTGCTCGCTCACTGGGGTCTGGCTGAGACCTCATTTGAACAAAGATTTCTGCAGTCTAGGGGACAGTGAATGAGGCTCGCAAAGAACCGCAGGTGCCACTGTCATCGGGCTCTCAGCGGCCGAAGTCCTGGGAGTGGGACATATGTCCGTGGGTTTGGACAAATCTAAGACATGTATCCACCGTAAGACGAGTAGCTTTTCAGAAGCCTTCTTAGGAAACTCCCCAGGACGGAGAATGTCAAGCTCATGAAAGAGGAGAGAGGAGTTTAATGAACCTCGTGCTCCTGACACCCAGCCTCACAGTGACAAACTGAGTCAGTGTCATTGTCCTTGAAACCGTTCGCCCCCACCTCCCATACACTGAAGCCATTCCTCAGCATCCGAGTCCACATTTAAAGACACTGAGTCTTTAACTCACGTGATCATAAAGCCATGACCACACCTAAAACTCAGCCAGTCACTAGTATCAGCGGTTTACGCTTCCCAGAGCCCGTGTCATGTGTGTGTTTTCCTTTTGTTTCTATTTTCATAGCGTCTTTGAATCAGGATCAGGTGAGAGGACTTTATAAAGTTTCTTTTGACCAGTGGCCCTACCCCAGCCGGTGCTCGGGGAACAGTGGCTGCTTTTATTTTAACAGAGTTTTCTGGACGTGAGGCCAGTGTTTTAGATTCAAGACGGAAAGAGCAGCAGGGAGTCCTTTGCAGCCTGGCCCAGTCCGGCTCCCCGTCCTCCGCCCTGGCTGCGGGGTGGCCCTCTCCCCTAACCGACCACGTGCAGCCCTTTCTCTGAGCCCTTGTTTCCTTCCCGGTATTTCTGTCCTTACTTGAGCGATCCATGATGACGATGATCGGACTGTTCTTCGGGTGCTCTTAATCCCTCTGAGCAGAGGTGCGTCTCTGGCCTCGGCTGAGCTTGTAGTAAACAGGTGCTCGTGTGTGTGTGAGAAGCGCCCTCGTCCCGCGAAGCCTGGGGCCGGCGCCGTCCTCTCTCAGAGCTTTTGTGCCGCAACGTGGCACGAGGAGAAAGAGACAAAGAAGTCAGGCAGCACCTACACTAGCAAAGGTCCCAGGGCGGCTCACCCGCCGCCAGGCAGGTGGGGACCAAGGGCGCTGTGAACCCAGGTTTCTGCCACGGCCGACTTCCTCTCTGCGCCAGCAGCCAGGAGCCAGGGGAACCGTGACGCCCGCGGAAACGGCTCGCACTGCCAGCCCGGCCGGTGGTGGCAGGTGGTGGCCTGCTCGCTGGGCAGCGGAGATGAAGGTGGAACTGGAGAAGGGTCGGGGCCCCCTGCCCTCCTCTCCATCCTTCCACCCTGGCCGCATCCCGGCTGCTCTGGAGTTGGAGGAGGAGAGAAAGCCGTGGGTCCAAGTGAAACCCTGGGTTTCTCTGCAGGTGGTGACTTTCGATGCCGGGGGAGTGAGCGGCCACCGCAACCATGCTGCTCTGTACGCAGCCGTGAGGTAGGGTTCTCAGGGACCCGGGGGTGGAGGAGGGAGGCTGGTCCCCCTAAGTCACCAAGAGCAGTGTGATCTCAGCACGTCCTCCCAGGGGGGGCAGCTCCCCCAAGTCTCAGAATTCCTGTCTCCCGAACAGCTGCGTTTCCTTTACCCCACGGACACAGCAGATGCGGGGACTGCTTTTAGTTCTCTCTGCTCTGGCCGCAGAGAGCTTTAGGGCCGGACTTCCAGTCCTTGCAGCCCACAGACAGGACTGTAAGGACTGAGTTCTGTGCCCCGGCGTGCCTCCCACTCCATCTGCTTCCTCCTCAGATTCTGATTTATTTGCCATCTTCTGCTGTACTGTGTGCGCAAGTTCCAGTCTCTCTGGGGAAGGAGGATGTGCACTGATTTGAACTCTCACCTGCTCCTCGCAGCCTCTCCACCTACTGACATGAACCTGCCCTTAACCTGCAGCTAAAAACCTGAACCTCGGGGGAGGGCACAGCTCAGGGGTAGAGCGCGTACTTACATGCACAAGGTCCTGGGTTCAGTCCCCAGTACCTCCATTAAATACATAAATACACACATAAATAAAAAACCTAATTATCTCCCCTCAAAAAACCTGAACCTCAAGGACCCTGAGATCATACAAACTACAGCGGGTGTCCTGTCCCTGGGGCCCTCAGGGACCCTCTCCTTCCCCACCTTCCGGGGACACATTTGTCCTGCCTCAGCTGTAGAGTCCCTCCTGCGCGTGAAACCGGAGTGGGGGCGGCCTTGCCTGGCAGCAAGCCCCAGCTGTGCTCACCTGGCATCAGGGCACAGGGGAGGCTCCAGAATCGGGGTGTCTGGCGTCCTCACGGAGCTGGTGAGACTGCCCCAGAGCCACACAGAAACCAGAACGAGCGTCCGGTGGGCAGGCCTGAGACCCTCTCTGAGCCTCAGTCTGTGGTTTGAGACAATGTGCGCCACCAACCATCAGGTTGTTATGTGGAACTAAAACCAGGTGCTGATGGGTGTGCCTGGCGGCAGCATCCAACCCAAATTGGCTACCGCCCTCCCCACTGTGCAGGTGCCCTCTGGGCCCCTCCCTTCTCCCCTGCTGCCCTGGGTGGCCACCTGTGGAGGCCCCGGGAGGGCATCTCTGCCGGGAGGGGAGACACTGCCCGCGCCCATGGCTCAGCCTCCGGCCCCGCCCTCTGCGCCCTGGGCTTCTCTCCGGTCACCCAGCTCCACCACCTGGGCCTTCAGGTCCCCAGAAGTGCCAAGGGGATGGGGTTTGCCTTCTGAGCGCCCTTCCTTGGCCTCCTGAGTCCGGGCAGCCCCGCTCTGTTGCAGGCATCAGGCCTCAAGCCCCTCGCTCCATGCCTCGCTCTGCTTGCCTTCCCTCCCAGCTGCCCCCTCCCCCGGCTGCCCCCCGACTCTGGCGCGGCTGATTTCACCCCCATCTGCCCTCACCTTCCCTTGGCCTCCGGCCCTGCCTGACAGCCCCTGACCTGCCTTATGGCAGCCTGTCCTCCCCCTCCTCCGGCCTGCCTGGCCTCCCCTCGGTCTCCCCCGGACCCCCACCAGCAGGCCCCCGGCCTCCTGTGCACGGGGCTCTCAGAGCGGTTTCCCGTGTGTCTCCAGGCCTCGCCTCTCTCCTGCACTTAGACCTTATGTCCCCAGCTCCTTCCTGGGTCCCGACCACCTGACACACAGAATATCCCCAGGGCTGGGCCCAGAGCACGGGACGAGCTGCCTCTGAGCTCGGGGTTCTCTTTCTCAACTTCTCCTCTGTGACCCCTGCTCCAAGAGTCCCTTGTCATAGGATGTGTCAGCTTTCAAAACAAGGGGTTTGTTGCTGTCACCCTGCTCTTCACTGTGATGGGGGAGCGGGTCAGGAAGGAGGAAGGACTGTCAGGGAAGAAATACCAGTTACCATGGAAAAGAGTCTCCCACACTCACATCACCATTTCAAAAGAGAAGACAGCTGAAGGGTCCGCTCTGGTTACCGTCATCTCTGACAGGCACAGCTCTGCCCAGGGCGCCTCCAGCTGGCGACCTGGGGGAGGGGCCCGCCCTGCGCCCTCACCTGCAGCCAGCGGGTGGAATCTGAGGAATCTATATGGTGACCTCTGCACAGGAAACCCCCAGAAACCCCCGTGGAGGGACCTGGGGGGGCAGGCCTGGCCCTGAAGGCCCTCCCTGCTACTGCCAAGGACTCTTACTCTGCCCGCCTCTCCCTCCTCCAGGTCCCTGCACGCAGAAGGGAGGTTACCTAAAGGTAAGGCCGGTCCCTGTCCCTCTAAGGGACTTGCTGGGGTGACGTCGATGGAGGGCAGGGCTGCGCCCTTCTGGACACAGCTCAGTGTGCCTGTCACGGTGGCACCCGGGCCTCCGAGTCGGTTGTGTCCACGGGATGCATTCACTGGGTGTGAGGGGAGGCCGCGTGTGAGAGGAGCAGAGCCGACAGGAGACGTGGGCAGCCAGGAAACCCCGTGTGCACAGACACACGGCAGGGAATGGGCTCCCGCGATCACAGTTAGGAGGCTGGGAAGGCCTCTGTGCACATGGGAGGCCGGGGGAGCTGCTGGCACCGTTCAGCCCGAGTCCAGAGGCCTGTGGACCGGGAGCCGACGGTGTGAATCTCGGGCTCCGGGCGCCAGGCCAGCGTTCAGCTCTGCAGTCGGACAGAAAGGAGTGAACCCCCTTCCTCCACCTTCCGTCCTATCGGGCCTCAGTGGCCTGGATGAGGCCTCCCACACTGGGGAGGGCCTCTGCTTCACCACCTCATCCAGTTCAAACGTGAAACACCCCCACAGACACACCTGGAAACAATGTCTAGTCAAGAATCCAGGCGGCCCGAGACCATCAGGTTGACATGTGAAGTCAGCCATCGCCATGGGCCTTGTCCCCACCTGTCTGGTTTCTCACTGGCCAGGTCTCGGCCCCGCTGGCTTTCTTTTCCGTCCAGACTCACACCCACCCCCAAGTTGATCAGCCAGGCTGTAAGTGGCTGATGGGTGTTGGGGGGTCTGACAGTCTTCATGACACACAGGGACGTGGGAGACCCCCTTGGCCAGTCACTGTGCAACAGCAGCGCCTGGCCTCTCCGAGCCAGCGTCTGTCTAAGGGGAGAGAGGCAGCGTCCCAGGAGCGCCGAGGGCCGGGCGGTGCACACACAGGCAGTGCGCCCTTTCTGGGTGGGCGGACGTGCCGCTGGAGCTGCCAGAGCTTAAGAGTGGGACTGCAGCGTGTCTGATTCTGTGTCAGGCCCCGGAGACAGGCAGGTCCCATGCTCACTACCAACACTGCCTTACAGACGAGGAAACTGAGGCTCACGGGGGTGGAAGGACTTTCCCAAGCCTGCAGTTGCTCGGTGACAAGCAGGAACCAGGTCTCTGGCCTCCAGGACAGGAATTCCTGTCTCCGTCCCCTTTCCCGGCCCGGACGCAGACAGACCCCAGCCTCTAGCAACCGACCTTCGCTCGCAGGGCACAGAGCAGGTGGAGGCGGGCCGGCAGTCCCAAGGCCTTTCACCCCTCCCATCTGTGGCAACGGTGGCCCAAGAGCAGCTTTCGCGCCATGGCATCACCTGGCAACTGCGCGGGCACTGCCCTGGCCCAAGCCCCAGGGCGGGTGGGGACTCGGGAGGTGTGCCTGGGAGCAGCTCGGCCCCCTGCCCTCTCCGCACAGGGTGCTCCGTGCTCACGCTCCAGTCAGTGAGCCTGCTGCGCAAGTACCTGTCCCTGCTGGACCTGCCCTGCTGCCTGCTGCGCGCCCCGCACGTCCTCTTCGTGCTCAGCCGCGGAGAGGCGGCCCAGGCCCAGGTGAGGACTGTGGTCCCTCCTGCACCCCCGCCTCCAGGTCCAGGCCCTGGGACCCCCAGCCCCACCCCCAGGTCCATGTGGGGCTGGGTGCCTGCCCGCAGCCGGACCGCGGGGGCCGTGGGCTGTTCTGATTATAGAAATAGCACACTCTGGAAAAAAAGGGAGTAACGATGCACGCTCAGTGTAGAGGATCTGGCTCTACCGAAACGCAAGAAGAAAGTAAAACGATTCATAAAGCTTACCTGCCATCCCGCCCCGCAGGGTTATCACTGCTAACTCAGTACACCCGCTGTAACATTTTTGCTAGCGGAGCGGAAAGGGTCAAGGGCCAGAACCCATCACTGGGCTGTTAAATGAAACAGGTGTGTTAAGGCTATAGCTTTTCTGAGACGCAATAGTAACAGATGTCAGAAGTCTTCTCCCCGCACCAAAAAAAGAAAAGAAATTAAAAAAAAAAGAACATCGAGGGCAGAGCCCACCTGACGGCCTGGGCTCAGGCATCAGCGTCACTGCCGCCCTGCTGTGGGACTGATGCGTGTCCTTGTCTATGAGAAGCCAAGAGCGGTAACAGTCCTACTTCACTGCCAGGGCCGTTAACTGACGTGCGGGGCAGCGGCAGCGGCAGCGGCCCTGCCCCACCGTTGTCACAGCGGGTTTTAGGAGGTGGGACGGAGGCTGGAGGTGTGGGTGGAGGGAGGCCAGGGGCGGGGAGGGCCCGCCCTGCTCACGCCTGCCTCCGGCCCTCCTCGCAGAGAGCCATGTCCCGCCACCGCAGCCAGCTGCTCTGGTTCCGCCGCCTCTACGTGCTCTTCTCCCGCTACATGCGAATCAACTCTCTGCACTTCCTCTGAGCCTCCAAGGGCTCTCAGATCCCGGGACCCAGGAGGGAGCTGGGGCCTCGGTGGGAGCTGGCTCACCCCGCTGCCTGGAGACCCCGGCGAGGCGGTACGTCCTGAGCTGGCGGCCGCGCTGGTCCCCCTCTCGTAAAAACGAGCCAGCGGGCTGTCCGAGCCTGAGCTGCTTCCTCTGGGAACAGAACCACAACAACCGAAAACAGACCCACCCAAGGATGAGAGTAGCTACCCTGCTGGCTTCTCACGTTTACGTGGTGGCAGGACGTCCGTCAGGCCCGACAGACCCGCGATTGTTACAAATGACGGCCACGTGCCCTGAAACCCCTTCTTAGAGGCGATGTGTTTTCGCATTGTGTCCACAGCAGATTCACCAGACGTGCACACACACACACGAAAGTCCAGTCTCCACGGAATCAGTTCAGCCGTAATTCCTTTATGTTCGTGGCCCACATATCTGACTGGCACCTAGGGAATGTCTCCGTTTCACATCACAGTCACTGACTGGGGCCCCGAGGTCCTATCCCTGAGCCCAGCACTTTGTGCAGAGACCCTCCTGATGTGCCCCTGCCCTGAAGGGGCCTACGACCCAGCACCTCACTGTCTGTTCTTCGGGGGAAGCAAGAGAACCCTGGAGGTTTCCCAACACT